ACGAAGAGGTGTGCATTCTAGTTAGTTTTATTTTAATCTGTTAAGTTCATAGAATATAGAGTAATTTTACAGTGAGTGCAGCGAACATTTGGATCAAAAGCAAAAAAAATTTCAGACTTAGAAGCAATATCTATCGTATATCTCATATATCAACGTTATATCGTTCTCTTCTGTTCTCTATCTATTTTAGGAAAAAAATCTCTGGTTCACTCTCTATCGTTTCTTACTTTTCTTTTTTCGTTTCTGTGAATAAATCTATCAAATATAGAAAGCGCTTTAAGCGCTTAAAGCGATGAACAATGTGATGGTATCCCTTAAACTGTGCCAGTATCCGATGAATACGTTTTGGAATCGTCAAATGTTTCAAAATCAAGTATATAATGGATCGATATGTGAGACGAAGCTTAGGTGTTTGGAAGATTTCAATTTTAAGTGTCAAGCGATTATTTGTGGTGACTAAATCAAGTCTTCAGTCAAAGACTGCTAGTAATGTGAACTTTTTAAGATTATTAAAAAATAATATTGTGAACTAAATACAACTCGTTTAATCAATGCCGAGGTCATAATAAAGTGTGTGAGAATGTTTACGCCCGGGTGCTTTCAACAAAATTTTTTCTCTTTCCTAAACGTTCTTTTACCTTCGTTGGAAAATTCAAAACCTCTCAAACGCATTTCTAACGGGTTTAGCATTGCTTTTTACGTAGAAAATCATAATAGTAGTTCTCTAGGTGGAAATATCACTGAGCTATGGGCTCATAATCTGAAGGATTTTTCGAAAAACTCGCACTTTTTCAGTCTTTTCCTAATTTCTGCTAAAAGGAAAAGGTTTTGGAAAAAACGACACATGCTTTGGTGGAACAAGACAAGGCGAATGTTCTGGCGTATGAAAGAAGTCTCTAGCTCTCATGGCAAAAAACTAGATAGCATTGCGCGGTGAGAACCTCAAGATTCGAGTGATCAGTGTTTGATCAGCTACAAGAGTTTAAGACTTGAAGAAAAGTCATTGAATGACAAGTGCCTAGATGTACTTCGCGATGCTAAATCCAAAAATCGCACCGGTGAGATCGAAAAATGAAAAGATTAGGGGATAATCGGGATTTTTCTGAAAAATCGATTTTTCGAGGTTTTTGACGCCCTCACAGTATTTTGAGGTTTTCTGCATGAAACTCGGTCAAATCGAAAAACTAAGATCCGATTCGTGGTCAGCAGCATCCGACGAATCAGAATATGTGTTTGAAAATTCAAAAGTTTTTCCACAAGTCTTCTTCAAGTCTTAAACTCTTGTAGCTGATCAAACACTGATCACTCGAACCTTGAGGTTCTCACCGCGCAATGCTATGTAGTTTTTTGCCATGAGAGCTAAAAAACAGACTCTTGGCGGATAAATCATAGGACTGTTCTTCCGCTCATTTCTTGTTGGAATTTTCCAACGATTTCCTATGACTTATCAGCCAAGAGTCTGTTTTTTTGTGGGCATGCATACAATGAAAAGAACAGAATAGAACATTCTCGCCTGTCGAAAGCACCACATTCAGCAAATCATAAACAAAGACAAAGGTAGGCGAACGCTAATCACAAAACTACACGAAAGCCTGACTATTTTGGCAATGTGACTAATCAGAAAAATATTGGAACACTCATAGAAACGTAGTGACAACAATGAATTCATGAATAAAACACATATCAGAATGACTCAGGTCTTGAAATGAACCGATTCAGAGACAGTAAATATACCTCTGCACATCAGTGTGGGAGCACTATGGTCGTCGACTCCTGTATAAGGATCAGTTAAGAATCATCCTTGACATTTATAAGTACTAAATACGGTTCGTGTAAGAGCCTGACCGTATTCTTACCAGATTCTTAAACAAGCTTACGACGAAAAACGATATTGTACTATGAAAATGGATGGAAGGAAAAATCTGTTTGGCACCAGTAGATTAAGTTAAAATCATTGCAGAAAAGAATGGAGTTGAAAAACTTTGATAACACAAATTCGTTGCATCAGTTCAACTAGCCCCCTTTTTAGCCGCTTTTCGAGACGCATCGAATGGTGTATGAATGATTAGAGATCATCTTTAGTTTGATAGAGAAAAGTGACCGACAGTTCGAGTCGCATAGCGGGGACCTATGAAAAAATCTACTATCCAGCCCAAAACACAGTGTTAGTGGGCGTTTTTTGAATAACTCTTGACGGAAATGAGATAGGGACCTTCTGGTGCGGTTGCGTGACCTCTGCTTTTCGTGGTTTTGGTAGTCGTTTTCGTTTGAGTGGACTGTATTCTGTGTTTTCGAGTTAGCGGCTTGTTTATTGTTTGTTTAGAAGATCGTTTCAGAGTAAGTTTTTCTGCGGTTCGGAAGGAAGGAAGAAACTGGTGTCAGTGATTTTTGAGTGACGTTGATCGGAATGATCAGTTTTAACGCGTATTCTCGATTTGTGATTTTTCTGGCTGGCTCATTCTTTGCAAATTTTGAGAGCATATTTGTTTCTTAGAAGCCAGAGTTAGATTTTTATACTTTACAACCAAAGAAGAGCAATTCTGAACTTGCCGAAGTAGTAATACCAATATTTTCCTCATTTTTAATTATTTTCTAAAAATCAAAACTTTTTCACACGAAAACGATTTCTAGAAATATCAAAATCAGCTTTAAGTAGATAACTCGATTAGCATTAGTCAACCATACCGAAGAAAATGAAAATTACTTTCTGTAAGTTGTGAATTTCACGCATCCCACATGTCCGGTTCGTTAGCGCCAGGATCTTTCAGTGAAGGGTTAGAGAATGAAAGATGAATGTTACTTGTGTATAGGGCAGAAATGTATGAGACATTTTATCAGAAGAACGTTGTTTTGTGAAATAGTGACCCACCTGTATTTCATTCTTTTTTGACATCATATGATATGTGGCATAAGGAGATCATATCTTTATCTTGATTTTTCTCCGTTCTTTTCTTTTTTGCTTACGTTATTATTCTGGTCTAAACGTCATATTTTTGTCTGTTCTAATTATTAACATTTTACGAGGTGTCTCAATGGTCTTATTGTTGCTTATGCTACGTCTCTGCTTCAGAACACGACTGGACCGCATCTCGGCACATTAAGAATCTTCTGAAAGCTCATCCAATTGGTCCGCGAGTTTATCATAGGTGCACAGTAAAAAACATTGTGTCGCGGTAAAATGTGTCGCAGCTCCTGTGAGAAAATTGTGTCGCAAAAGAATGTGTCGCATAATTGTGTTGCCGTTACTAAGAACTTTCAGACATAGTCCTTGAGGTAATTTCAGGATCTGCTCTCTTCAAAAAAATTGTTTTACTATTTTCAGCAGTCTTCATTAGTATTTTTCTCAGCTTCTTTTCAATCTTGATGTGCTATAGGTGGCGCTAATATGTAAAAGATAAGAAAATTTTCGAACTTTCTAAGTGTTTTCAGTTTCGAATTGGTGTTTTTAGTGGATAAAGATCCCTCTCTTGGTCTTTTTTAACTATTTTCTACGTTAAACATTTTTTCTCTAATGAAAAACAACCACTCAGAGGCCTTGACTACGCCATTGCTCCCAGATCTCGGAAACTAAATATTTTGAAGGCCTGTGAATATTACCGGCGAGTTGAGCTTGTTGACATTACGTAGAGCATCCCGAAATGAACTAAAAATATTCTTAAAATCGAATAAGAGATCGAAAATACTTAATTTCTACTATTTTCTCTATGGTAGAAATACCCAGCGGAATGTGTCGCAGTCTCAATGGAAAAAATGTGTCGCAAGTGGCTCCTGGTGTTGCAGATGATTGTGTCGCAGAATATGTCGCAATTTACGACACATTATTTTTTAGTGTGTGTCTAACAACATTCGATATCTAGTGCCGTTATTCCATCAGTGTCTTAGTGAGTTAGTTTTGAGTGGAAAGACATATGAGCACAGAACTGGCTTCTACAGATCTTCAGGTTGTGTCGAAAAAGCTTTCGGCATCTATGGAGCTCAAGAAGGGTGAGGACTACTTTGCGACTGGCTCCGAGACCAGCGAAGCGAGTCGAAGTACCTAGCAAAACTTTGTATGTTCACCTTGAGCGTGGGATCCGATCTCTAGAGATCCTTAGAAGGTATGCTGAATGCTCTCGACGTGTGAAGCCGCGAACATTTTCTCAAATACTTACCCAAAATAAAAGGAAAAGCAATTTGCTTGTGAACACTGAAGACAGATAGCACAGTTACATGTTCTTCCCGTCGTTGTTTCAAGTTCTTTTAGTAAAGCGTCGAGTGATATAGTTGGAATCTCCAATAACAAATGAAAGATACTACGATAGGTGCAGATAAAGAATATATCGAATATAAGCCTTAAGAAATTACAAATGCATTGACTCTGTTTTCCAGAATAGAACCCTAAGACTGTTTCTCGTCTTTGGTCCTTCAGTAAGATATCCAGAACTACAGAGATTTACAAAAGCTGACTGGACGCCTTAATGGTAATAAGCCCATGCACAAATAAATCCGTTTTTTTTTTATCTCCTTTCCTTGAGTTATGCATTTTTTAAAAATTGAAACGTGAAGTGTCAATGAATGTTGTCAGACACGTATGGTCAATTTCGCAGGCCTTGAGTGAGAACTTTTCGAGGGATCGTAGGGTATCGATATGAAAAACCGAGTTTTTTTACAAATCTTTTAGGACTAAAGAGAAAACGAAAAAATGCAGAATGAATCTATCATACGTTTTCATCGCTTTTACATTTTGTTGATAACATTTCTGCGGAGAGGGTTTGTAAATGTTGATATGACCTACAATTTTTAATTTTAGAAAAATGAATTAAGAAGCGAGAAAAGTTGTGTAATTATTTTTGCTTGTATTGGTAAAAAGGTACTGAGGTCTAAGTGTAATTTATATACTTCTTGATGTCTGTGTTGATTTTTTCTAAGGAGTTTCATTAATACTAATAATGTTTCGCCGTGTTTAGATTTTTTTATCAAACTTTTTTATTAAAGGGTTATTATTGTAAAGGGTGAAAATTATGGGTGTCCAGCCAGTGATTTGTGTTGGTGATATTGATACATCAGATCTTGATTTATATTTGAAGTGTTGTAAGGATATCAAATCATGTTATTCACTCGCATTATCCACGAATTCTCATACTAAAATAGTCGTACTTATTCTTAACCAAATGAATATTATTCAAAACGAGTTTATGCAAAAGATACTTGAATTAAATAACGTTATTAAAGTTTGGATTAACGTTAATTTAGTCCATCTGTCTGATAATGATGTATGGTTACATAAACTTAATACCACAAATTATGAACCAGAAACATGGAAAATCTTCGTACTCAATTGTGTGGCTACATATATTGTTGAACAAGCACAAAATAATTCACTCGATAAGAAGGCTCTAAGGGCTTGTTTCACAAAACAGAGAGAGATCGTTACACGCAAAATACAAAATACCCAATCAAGTCATAGTAATACGAAAACATTCATTTCTTTTTTAAACTTTAATCCTCATCTGTTCAGTCCAATGGTCTACTGAAATCGGATGTGTCACCTATGTCTAGAAGTACCGAGAGCGTGACCATGAAGCAGTTTGTTCAAGGCTATCCAGCGAACACCGTTGCTGGATTCGAACGCGGTACTTTCTCGCACGTTGCCGACTGAACAACACTGCTCGTTTATTTCTTTTAATCGCAGTCGTAATACTCTTATTTTATTTCATTTTTAGGTAACCAATCGGGATTAAGATTGCAAAATGACAATATTCCTGCATTAGGACCCCAATCTTCCGGTATTTATTTATTTTGCTAGGCACAGGCGTAATACACTTATTTGCTTTTAGTTTCAGATAACCAATCTGGATTAGGATTTCAAACCGACAGTATTCGTGCATTAAGACCCCAATCTTTCGGTATTTCTTGATTTTGCTGGGCACAGGCGTAATACTCTTATTTTATTTCCAGATGACCAAACGGGATTAAGATTGCAAAATGACAATATTCTTGCATTAGGACCCCAATCTTCAGGTATTTTTCTTGATTTTGCTGGGCACAGGCGTAACACACTTATTTGCTTTTATTTTCAGGTAACCAATCGGGATTAGGATTGCAAAATGATGTTTTTCCTTCATGGGGATGCCAATATTCCGGTATTTATTGGTCCTATTTAGCGCACCTTAGTCTACATGTTATTCTTCACAGTTTTAGATAATCCAGCCAAAGGTACCCGTGACGTTATCAAATTACTTAAAGAGAGTCCGTGAGAAAATCGACTATAGCAGCCGGAACTAACATTTTTTTTTGTTCTTAGTATTCTAGTTCGAAAGAGCTCATCGAAAAACTAAGAAATCCAAGATATCTCGCCTTCGTATAACACTGTTCATGAATTAGGGGTCTTAACTTTTTAGTCATCACCAGAAGCTATTTGTGGATGAAATCGATGTTTCTTTAATATCTCAGAAACAGCTTGATCCTTATTTTTAGATAATGCGCATGCTCCACTGACTAAATTTGCACAAGGATTTGAAAAAGATGTACTTTCTCATCGAAACGTAAATATAACAAAATCTTGTAGTTGACGTAAGTTTTTTCTCTTACTGTTTACTTTCTAGTGTGGTTACGAAACGTATAACAAGAGTAATACGGATGAAAAATATATTTGTCCAATATGCAAACTGATCCTGCGATCACCATTTCAACTGACAAACTGTGGTCATCGATTATGTAAAGAATGCATTTGCTCGGAAGCTGAGTAAGTGAAATAAGAATATAGCCTTATCAATTTTTGTATTCAACTGCATAAAGCTTATTACATATCAAAGGTATTGTTTACATTGTCTGATTTTAGTACTACATGTCCCGTATGTTCTGAGAGGACACCAAATAATCAGGTATGCTATTAACTAGAAGTCAGTGTCGTATTTTTCTCTACTCATGGAGAACTTCTGGTCATGGTTTATAAGTACAATGATAGCTATCAAAGCTCTGTTTTTTGGTATGTTATACTATGAAAATTGATTGTAATATTTTGCTTTATATGGATTATACTGGTCACTATACACTATATGTCCGCTATAATTCAACTATTCTATACGACCAAAGCTGTTATTTATTTTGTTTCATATACTATTAGATGCGTCTGATAGAAGACAGCTGGCCAAGTCACGTCCCGTCAAGTCAGACTTGATTTGGCCCAAAATTTTCTGGGGTGTGACTTGACTTGAGAAAATTTTTGCAAGTCAAGTCTTTTCTAGTAAGAGATTTTTGTTTAAATCAGACTTTTTCTACCATGAATGAGAGTTTCTGAGGCTATAAAACTTTCTCATCCAAAAGGTGCACACTGGTCATTTTTGGCTGGAGCAGGTGGACATCAGCTTTAAAATCAGTTGGAAAGCTCAAAAACAAACTTTTTATAGGTTTTTAGATGCCCTCTTTGCATTGGACTACCTCCCGAAACTCCAGAGTGCTTCTGTCCTCGTTTTCTGGAGAACTCTGCCTCTAGAAAACCCGATATAATAAAAAATGTCGAGAATTTCGTGCAAAGAATTTTCTATACGTTTCTCGATATGCTCTTTTCATTGCTGTTCTTTATAAAGCATAGAAATGTTTCGATCCGCGTTTTTCAGAAACCCTAAAGCTTTGAAGAACCGTATTTAGTACAAACTCATCCGAATTCCTTGAAAATAATTTTGAATACGTTTTTTAATGTCCTGATATCAACTAGCATTATTTAAAAACTGTTTTAGATACTGTTGAAAGGTTTATTTGATAGGTTTACTGAAAAACCAGGTTTTGCAAAACTCTGTTAGTGCTCTCAGGTTTTTGGAATGCTCTTCTCAACAAGATCAAAATAATTTTCTTTTTGAAAGGGTATTTAGTGCCACCACCACCCCTTGGCTTTCGGTTATAATAAGCCAAGCCACTAAACTTCTGCGGAGTTTGATCAGATACTGAAAAACTACTAAAAAAGCTACTAAAAAAATACAGCAAATAATAATAAATGTAGCCGTCATTATGAAACTAAAAATTTATTTTTATTTTCACTTGGATAGATGGCGTCACTGTATATATTTTGCGGAAGTTATGAAGAATGGGCTTACGGCAAACCTTTCTTTATCAAAAAACTCATTGCACGTGTTTTTTAAGCTTTTGCTGCTTTTGCGATCAATATTCAGCCAAAACTCGAAAATATATACATATTGGGAATCAGGGTAAAAAATTCAGTTAGAATGCGTGTCATTGCTTCCAAATAGACAAAAATAAGTTTTTGCCGAATTTCAGAATTAGTTTCCAAAAATTGCCAGAAATTTATTTTCGCGTATTGAAATAAAAGACATATATTCTGATTCAGTTTTTCACCCTGATTTCGAATATGTATAGATTGCTTGGATAAAAGCCTTTTTTCATTGAGAAACGAAGCATTTTATCTGAAAAACTGAGAGTTTTTTGAAAATCTCCCTATGAGCCATTGCACATAAGCCACGACAAGCCAAGCTCAATGACTATTTCAGATTTTTTTTCTAAAAAGCCTCATCTTGTAGAGCATGGACGAAAACTTACAAATCCAAGTTTGTAGGCTTCCCGAACTTTTCGTTCCGTAGATATGAAATTTTTTCGACTGGGGTAAAGTTCGAGAATTTATGCGCGTGAAAAACCTACATTTCATTTTTCTCGTGAACAAGAAGAGATGAAACCGCGATTTTTTCAAGACGGGTAGTACTTGATGTCTACCATAAGTCGGACTACTTGCAGTAGATAGTACTCTCAGTGTACTATCTGGAATCATCGTCAAAAGTATGGAATAAGCAAATTTGTTACAGAAAGTTTTGAGACCAGAGTCGAAGTAAACGGGCGGCATAAGTATTCACTTTTCTGTCTTAATGAAAAATTATATATTTTCCAAAAGAATACTGTTGGATAGCCCGCGAAATTCTCTACAAACTGATCTTGTCAGAAAATCTAGACAGGTAGAGCCAGTAATAGAGATATGCAAAAGAAGCGTTTGAGTGCTATATATACAGCACAGTGTGTCATAATCATAAGAACTCCTTTGTTTTTGATTTTTTATCAAACGCTGGAATCAATCTGAATACTGTTTTGAATAGCCCGAAGACTTTTCTATCAGATGAGGTGCATACCATCAGTTTATAAGGAAACTTGATAACAGGGTTGCTGAAAAATCTGAACCCTAGAAAACCAAATCTTTGGTTTTTGGTGAGAAAATTTTCCAAACCATATGGCCTGATAAAGCGAAGAATTTTGAGGAAAGTAAGATAACGCTTTTTTCTCCAACTGCAGTCGATTTACGAATGGCTTCAAAGGGGGCTGAAAGTTAACAAAATATTCCAGTGAATAAGCGTTATGGCTAGCCGGCTTCTTAGTATATATAATGCTATTAAAATGAGAGAAAAGTGAAATTACGTTTTTTGGCCAAATTTCCGTCTACAAACCCACTGTGAGGTGTTAGCAAATTTTATGTTCTGCCTAATTTTAACCACTGTCTTGATTTGGAGGACAAAATTTCGAGGAGTACCTTGACTTGACATGGTAGAAAAATTTTCCGATTTAGACTTGATTTGACAGTTTTTTTAGTGACTTGACTTGCGACTAGCAAACTTCTGACTTGCCCAGCTCTACTTGAAGAGGCCTACAAAATGATATGTAATTGAAAAAAACAAATTGTACCTGATATACTTTTTGTTTGAAATAAGAATGTGAATCAGCGACAATAAAAAACTCAAAGTGTGGCACACTATGAAGCAAATCTATATTCTTCATAAGTAGAGAAAAACTTAAAAGAAAACCAAAATAAACCCGAATGGAATTGCAGTATTAAAAAAACATAAGTAAAAATAGTACAGAACTGCACAAATGTCATATTTGTTTAACTTATTTATCAAATAAATACAACATAGATAAATGCAAGCTTTTAATGATCTCTACAAGATCATCACCAGGCAAATATGACTGAAAAATATGTTAAAATCAATTTTACTATTCAGGAAAAACATCATTGCTAAAAAATAAGGCGCCGGAAATTCAAAAAACTTAAGCAAAATCTAGTTTTTCGATTATTATGTATGGTTCGATAGAGCTCATGTGTGTTTTAGAGTTTCAAAAAAATTTTTTTAGGGTTGAAAATTTAAGAACTTTCGAAATTTTCTAACCCTTAAAAAATAGCCTAAGTTTTAAAAATTATCAAAAATTTCCACATTACCTTCAGTTTGTAACGTCGAAAATATTTTTTTTTTATTCTACGTCAAAAAGTGAATGTAAAAAAAATATTTCTGATGTCATTCAAGTATGGCAGGATCAAAAAAATTAAAAATTTGGAGACAGCGCGAAAACCTTCTGCTGCTAGCCCCAACAGCTTCAAGTCTTTACAGATTTGAGATGAAGCCAATATTTTTACGTGATTCTACTCACCCTACCACCACGGAAAAAACTTTGGATGCGTTTTACGAGACTCCTTTTCATTCCTAAAACATTGCGTTTTTACTGAAACTTGAGCAATTTGACGAAAATCGAGCGAGCCATTTTCGAATACAATGGTCAGTTTTGAGTCAACTTCAATGACAAGTTGAAATTGTAGATAGAAAACACCGGAGAATCTAATGAGAAAACTTCGGGACTGTCTAGAACATTTCCCGAGGATTTTTGGAAACCTTTCGAAAACCTTCTCTGTTCATAAATGTTCTAAAACCATCCACATCGATGGAGAAAATAATTTTGAATAAAATGAAGTCATTCTGACGTTTCTATAATATTTTGTTAATGCAATACATTCTTTGAAACTGTAGTCTTCCGAAAATTCCAAGCCAGGCCTCAATTTCTCAGCGTAGGCAGTGCGCAAAAATCCTCGAAATAGTTGTATTTTGTAGAAAATTATTTTTGCCATCGATGTGGATGGTTTTAGAACAGTTGGCAACTGTTTCCATGGTGTATACGTCGCTGCTAGAAGCGTCTTTTAACTGCTTGCCGGGGGAGTGTTCGAACTTCTACAGGACCCTGATGCTGCGCTACAGTAGCGGAAAGGCGACCTTGGGCTGCCGGTAGCCAACCGTCTGACTTTTAGGCCAGCAACCTGTCAGTTGGACATTAAACTACAATTGCTAACGAAAAGACAATTGTCTCACCCTACACCGAAAGGTATCTGGGTATACTTACTTACTTTAAACTCATAATAATAATAATTAATAAAACAAATAATTTAAAATATCTATATTGTTTCGTTTAGATACTGTCCGATAAAGGATTTGAAAGGGAATTGCTGCAATTAACTGTTTTCTGTAAAGAGAAAGATAATGGATGCAATTGGACTGGTGCCTTACGAGACTATCAAGTATTTGAAAAAGATGTAATATCGTTATTAAATTTTGCATCTCTTTCTAATATTGTTTCAGGAACATCTCGATAATACACATATAACAAGCCATAACTGCGAACATTGCAACGCAAATTTTCCAACTAAATATGCATTGGATGACCATAAAAAAGATTCATGTATGAAAATATTGATATCATGTCAGTTAGCCGAACATGGTTGTTCAAAACAACGAGTAAGTAGAAAACAACACTTAAATCAGACTAAAAACTTATGACTGACTTAGCGACTTGTCCAAGTGTAACGCTGTGACATTTTTGACACAGTAATTTGAGCTTTTCTCAAAAAGTGTAAGAGCTAGAAACTTCGTTCTTGCGCCATTCGACGCAGCTCCCAATACTCTACTTTTGATATAAAAATGAAGGTATGTAGTTAAAAACTCAAATTTTTAGAACCGTTTTTCGACATGTGACGCTGTGATAAAAAAAAGGCCCTAAATTCGAAGTTCTTCTCATTGCAAGCGAATTTACTGTGAATTTATCTGCTTTATCTGCTTGGTAAACAATACCGTCCTATTGCAGACGAATAGAAATGATTTCAAAATTTGACAAAGTGTTTGTGCTTTTATTTAGTTTCTACGATCTGATCTTGGTGTACACTATTTAACTGAAACCCATCAAATATGTTTACAATCTGTTCTTGAAGAAATCATGAAATTAATTCAATCCCGTTTTAATGGAACTGACAGGGCTGCCACAAATAGCACTTCTAACCAGTTTAATCTATCATCGTTAATATCAACTGCGGACACTACTTCATCATCGACAAGTTCAGCCATAAACTATTTTTACTCTCAACTTCAACAACTTTACGAGTCATTGACAACTGTAACAAAAAACTTTCAACCCTTAAACGAAGATTCAATTCGTTTGAGTACTGAATCCTTACGTCAACAAAATTTATTGCAAGCATGTCAAAACGAAATAAATCTAATTAAACAATCAAAAGCTGAAATAGACTCGTATATTGCGGGTATTGAACCGAATCACGAAATATTACTACAAGAATTAGCAAGCTTAAAACAGAAAGTGGAAGATTTACAATCGATCAGCTACGATGGAACTCTTACATGGAAAATTTCTAATGTTTCCGAAAAAATGGCTGATGCTCAATCGGAACGACAAACATCTATTTATTCACCAGCATTCTACTCGTCTCCTACTGGGTACAAAATGCGTATTCGCCTTTATTTACACGGAGATGGGAATGCTCGTAGAACACATATGTCTCTCTTTTTTCTTATTATGCGCGGTCCATTCGATGCGATTTTGAAATGGCCTTTCGAGTTTAAAGTGACATTTTGTCTCTTCGATCAATCTGGACAACAACGACACATTATTGATTCGTTCAGGCCCGATACAAAATCAAACAGTTTTCAACGACCCAGAAGCGAAATGAATATTGCCTCAGGAATACCAAAATTTTTTCCATTACCGATGATATTACAAGATGATAATAATTATATCAGAGACGACACTATGTACATTAAATGTTTAATTGATTTTGGTGATATATCGAAGATAATTCTTCCGTATGCGCTCAGTTTAAACCCCGCATTACCTCATCATGTTCAACGTAATATGATACGAGTAGAAACTGATCGACGAGTACAACTTCAACAACAGTCCGCATCATCGACTACTGTAACTAACAACAATAACAGTGGTCAAGTAAACATCAATAAATTTGTCAATAATACAAATTCGCAAACAATACAATTGCTTCACAGTATGAGTAATAGTCAATCGATGCTGGAAGATCCGAACCATGCATCAATGTTAACAGGGCGGTCGTTAGCACAGCAGCACGTGACTCCTAAAGAGCAGCCACCTCCATCAAAGAAAAAAAAGAAAGATGACGGCGATGATATGACGGATGACGTTATGAACGAATAAGCTTAGGAGAGCCCACGTACCAGCTTTCCGGAAAGCCACAAGGACTAGCGGGAGCAGCTGTATTGTATCCAAGAGGTAAACAGCTGATTTTTGGATTTTTCCGATTTTTATCGATTTTTGTCAATTTTGCTGATTTTCATCGATTTTCACCAGAGATGGGCAAGTCCGGTACTTTTCCAGTCCCAGTCCATGACGAGTTAAAATTTTCCAGTCCCAGTCCAGGCCTAATCCGCTAAGCTTTAAGCCCGATGTCGGCCACAGCATACATTGTTTTCCACTTCCATCTTTTTTATCAGAGAGTAACTGTTTCTTTACATGGCCAGGAAAAGATTATTAGAAGTCATTATGTCTTAACATAACTTTGAGAAAATTCGAATGTGCAGTGCAGAAAGGCAGACGAGCATTTAGTGACTGGTTTCTTTGCGTTGTTTGATTGGTAACCAAAGAATCAATGAAAAAAAAGAGCCGTCTTTTGATTGTAAGTAACTTTGATCAAAAGTTCTGATCAGAGCTAATGTTAACCGACTACGCGGTAACACGAAAAAGATAAAAGACTGAATTTAATTTCTTTATTCTTTTCATCTTTTTTCAAATTTAAACTCAAAGGTCCAGTCACAAATGTGAAAAAAATCTAGCAGAAAAACGTCCACGTCTTTTATGTCTCCAGTCCCAGTCCAGTCCAAGTCTGTTACGCTTCCAGTCCCAGTCCAGTCCCAGTCGGGATGAAAAAGTCTCTCGGTCCGGACTTGGACTTGCCCATCTCTGATTTTCACCAAATGAAAAGTCACCGGAAATGACTGGAAGTCATTGAAAATCACAGAGAATTACAGAGGATCACTGAGAATCAGTGAAAATCAATGAAAATCAATTGATTTTGCGTGATTTTCGACTTATTTTGGGCTGATTTCAGTCTGCTGTTTCCTCCATGATTGTACCCCACAACGTATTATTAAGTCAAGAAATATCTTTCAAAATTCAGCATCGTTACAATATAATCAGAGTTGCAGCGATGGTATCAGAAATGCGAAAAGTTCTAAGCCTAGAAACTGCTTCCTCAAAAAAGCTATTCTATTCTTTCCTATTAAACAAAATATATAAAATAATTCTCTTTAAATTTTTATATAATAAACAATTTATTCTTTAAATTTTTACATTACAAGAATATGATCAGACTTTTATACGAACCGTGTTAGATACTTATAAGTGCCCAATATGATTCATAACTCATCCCTATGTAAAAACTGGCCACCAGCTTGCTCATACACTGATGCGTACAAGTTAACAGAGATATATATGGCGTCTGAAGCAGTTCTTTTCATGTGACAGATCCTATTCTGATATCTGCTTCATTCATTAATTCATTATTGTCAATACGTTTCTATGTAGTGTTACAATTCTTTTCTGATTCATCACATCTTCGAAATAATCATGATTTCGCGTAAAATCGCCCCCCAGCCCCCAGAATAGAAGGCCATCCTCTGCATAAGGTCATGTCCAGGAAAAAGTTCAATTGCCCTAATAGAAGGCCATACATTTATTAAGTAATATTTTCTAAAAAACTCAATATTTTTAATAAATATTAATTAACAATTATGAAAATATAACTGGTTGTTTATGGATTTTCGCAAAATCTCTCTCTGTGTGCTCATAAATAGTGTATTTTCACAAAAGAGCGCACTTATTCATTGAAAGGTGCCTTTAAAAGATTAATTAATTATTCAAGTTATTATTAATAGTTCACCAAAAATTGACCGTCAAGAGAAGGCCCACCAAAAAGTATCGATGTGCCGAGACACTGTATAAGGGCATGGCCTTTTGTTCTGTGGGTGGGGGTTTAGCTTTATAATTAGCGTTCGCTTACCTAGCTTTGGTCTTTCTTTGTGATTTGTTAAATGCCTTTACTAACGAAAAAAAAATTTTTATTTTATCAGAGCTGCGAAAAATAGCGATTTTCTTTCCTTTTCATTCTTCTTTTCTTATTCACGTTATATATAGTGTGTGCTCACGTTGCAATGTACGGTACATATATAAAATACATTAAGACTTGTCTGTGTAGAGTAATATCACGTTTCCTTCTTTTTCTTAGTGTGTACGAACGTTATATAACGTTCGTACACACTAAGAAAAAGAAGGAAACGTGATATTACTCTACACAGACAAGTCTTAATGTATTTTATATATGTACCGTACATTGCAACGTGAGCACACACTATATATAACGTGAATAAGAAAAGAAGAATGAAAAGGAAAGAAAATCGCTATTTTTCGCAGCTCTGATAAAATAAAAATTTTTTTTTCGTTAGTAAAGGCATTTAACAAATCACAAAGAAAGACCAAAGCTAGGTAAGCGAACGCTAATTATAAAGCTAAACCCCCACCCACAGAACAAAAGGCCATGCCCTTATACAGTGTCTCGGCACATCGATACTTTTTGGTGGGCCTTCTCTTGACGGTCAATTTTTGGTGAACTATTAATAATAACTTGAATAATTAATTAATCTTTTAAAGGCACCTTTCAATGAATAAGTGCGCTCTTTTGTGAAAATACACTATTTATGAGCACACAGAGAGAGATTTTGCGAAAATCCATAAACAACCAGTTATATTTTCATAATTGTTAATTAATATTTATTAAAAATATTGAGTTTTTTAGAAAATATTACTTAATAAATGTATGGCCTTCTATTAGGGCAATTGAACTTTTTCCTGGACATGACCTTATGCAGAGGATGGCCTTCTATTCTGGGGGCTGGGGGGCGATTTTACGCGAAATCATGATTATTTCGAAGATGTGATGAATCAGAAAAGAATTGTAACACTACATAGAAACGTATTGACAATAATGAATTAATGAATGAAGCAGATATCAGAATAGGATCTGTCACATGAAAAGAACTGCTTCAGACGCCATATATATCTCTGTTAACTTGTACGCATCAGTGTATGAGCAAGCTGGTGGCCAGTTTTTACATAGGGATGAGTTATGAATCATATTGGGCACTTATAAGTATCTAACACGGTTCGTATAAAAGTCTGATCATATTCTTGTAATGTAAAAATTTAAAGAATAAATTGTTTATTATATAAAAATTTAAAGAGAATTATTTTATATATTTTGTTTAATAGGAAAGAATAGAATAGCTTTTTTGAGGAAGCAGTTTCTAGGCTTAGAACTTTTCGCATTTCTGATACCATCGCTGCAACTCTGATTATATTGTAACGATGCTGAATTTTGAAAGATATTTCTTGACTTAATAATACGTTGTGGGGTACAATCATGGAGGAAACAGCAGACTGAAATCAGCCCAAAATAAGTCGAAAATCACGCAAAATCAATTGATTTTCATTGATTTTCACTGATTCTCAGTGATCCTCTGTAATTCTCTGTGATTTTCAATGACTTCCAGTCATTTCCGGTGACTTTTCATTTGGTGAAAATCAGAGATGGGCAAGTCCAAGTCCGGACCGAGAGACTTTTTCATCCCGACTGGGACTGGACTGGGACTGGAAGCGTAACAGACTTGGACTGGACTGGGACTGGAGACATAAAAGACGTGGACGTTTTTCTGCTAGATTTTTTTCACATTTGTGACTGGACCTTTGAGTTTAAATTTGAAAAAAGATGAAAAGAATAAAGAAATTAAATTCAGTCTTTTATCTTTTTCGTGTTACCGCGTAGTCGGTTAACATTAGCTCTGATCAGAACTTTTGATCAAAGTTACTTACAATCAAAAGACGGCTCTTTTTTTTCATTGATTCTTTGGTTACCAATCAAACAACGCAAAGAAACCAGTCACTAAATGCTCGTCTGCCTTTCTGCACTGCACATTCGAATTTTCTCAAAGTTATGTTAAGACATAATGACTTCTAATAATCTTTTCCTGGCCATGTAAAGAAACAGTTACTCTCTGATAAAAAAGATGGAAGTGGAAAACAATGTATGCTGTGGCCGACATCGGGCTTAAAGCTTAGCGGATTAGGCCTGGACTGGGACTGGAAAATTTTAACTCGTCATGGACTGGGACTGGAAAAGTACCGGACTTGCCCATCTCTGGTGAAAATCGATGAAAATCAGCAAAATTGACAAAAATCGATAAAAATCGGAAAAATCCAAAAATCAGCTGTTTACCTCTTGGATACAATACAGCTGCTCCCGCTAGTCCTTGTGGCTTTCCGGAAAGCTGGTACGTGGGCTCTCCTAAGCTTATTCGTTCATAACGTCATCCGTCATATCATCGCCGTCATCTTTCTTTTTTTTCTTTGATGGAGGTGGCTGCTCTTTAGGAGTCACGTGCTGCTGTGCTAACGACCGCCCTGTTAACATTGATGCATGGTTCGGATCTTCCAGCATCGATTGACTATTACTCATACTGTGAAGCAATTGTATTGTTTGCGAATTTGTATTATTGACAAATTTATTGATGTTTACTTGACCACTGTTATTGTTGTTAGTTACAGTAGTCGATGATGCGGACTGTTGTTGAAGTTGTACTCGTCGATCAGTTTCTACTCGTATCATATTACGTTGAACATGATGAGGTAATGCGGGGTTTAAACTGAGCGCATACGGAAGAATTATCTTCGATATATCACCAAAATCAATTAAACATTTAATGTACATAGTGTCGTCTCTGATATAATTATTATCATCTTGTAATATCATCGGTAATGGAAAAAATTTTGGTATTCCTGAGGCAATATTCATTTCGCTTCTGGGTCGTTGAAAACTGTTTGATTTTGTATCGGGCCTGAACGAATCAATAATGTGTCGTTGTTGTCCAGATTGATCGAAGAGACAAAATGTCACTTTAAACTCGAAAGGCCATTTCAAAATCGCATCGAATGGACCGCGCATAATAAGAAAAAAGAGAGACATATGTGTTCTACGAGCATTCCCATCTCCGTGTAAATAAAGGCGAATACGCATTTTGTACCCAGTAGGAGACGAGTAGAATGCTGGTGAATAAATAGATGTTTGTCGTTCCGATTGAGCATCAGCCATTTTTTCGGAAACATTAGAAATTTTCCATGTAAGAGTTCCATCGTAGCTGATCGATTGTAAATCTTCCACTTTCTGTTTTAAGCTTGCTAATTCTTGTAGTAATATTTCGTGATTCGGTTCAATACCCGCAATATACGAGTCTATTTCAGCTTTTGATTGTTTAATTAGATTTATTTCGTTTTGACATGCTTGCAATAAATTTTGTTGACGTAAGGATTCAGTACTCAAACGAATTGAATCTTCGTTTAAGGGTTGAAAGTTTTTTGTTACAGTTGTCAATGACTCGTAAAGTTGTTGAAGTTGAGAGTAAAAATAGTTTATGGCTGAACTTGTCGATGATGAAGTAGTGTCCGCAGTTGATATTAACGATGATAGATTAAACTGGTTAGAAGTGCTATTTGTGGCAGCCCTGTCAGTTCCATTAAAACGGGATTGAATTAATTTCATGATTTCTTCAAGAACAGATTGTAAACATATTTGATGGGTTTCAGTTAAATAGTGTACACCAAGATCAGATCGTAGAAACTAAATAAAAGCACAAACACTTTGTCAAATTTTGAAATCATTTCTATTCGTCTGCAATAGGACGGTATTGTTTACCAAGCAGATAAAGCAGATAAATTCACAGTAAATTCGCTTGCAATGAGAAGAACTTCGAATTTAGGGCCTTTTTTTTATCACAGCGTCACATGTCGAAAAACGGTTCTAAAAATTTGAGTTTTTAACTACATACCTTCATTTTTATATCAAAAGTAGAGTATTGGGAGCTGCGTCGAATGGCGCAAGAACGAAGTTTCTAGCTCTTACACTTTTTGAGAAAAGCTCAAATTACTGTGTCAAAAATGTCACAGCGTTACACTTGGACAAGTCGCTAAGTCAGTCATAAGTTTTTAGTCTGATTTAAGTGTTGTTTTCTACTTACTCGTTGTTTTGAACAACCATGTTCGGCTAACTGACATGATATCAATATTTTCATACATGAATCTTTTTTATGGTCATCCAATGCATATTTAGTTGGAAAATTTGCGTTGCAATGTTCGCAGTTATGGCTTGTTATATGTGTATTATCGAGATGTTCCTGAAACAATATTAGAAAGAGATGCAAAATTTAATAACGATATTACATCTTTTTCAAATACTTGATAGTCTCGTAAGGCACCAGTCCAATTGCATCCATTATCTTTCTCTTTACAGAAAACAGTTAATTGCAGCAATTCCCTTTCAAATCCTTTATCGGACAGTATCTAAACGAAACAATATAGATATTTTAAATTATTTGTTTTATTAATTATTATTATTATGAGTTTAAAGTAAGTAAGTATACCCAGATACCTTTCGGTGTAGGGTGAGACAATTGTCTTTTCGTTAGCAATTGTAGTTTAATGTCCAACTGACAGGTTGCTGGCCTAAAAGTCAGACGGTTGGCTACCGGCAGCCCAAGGTCGCCTTTCCGCTACTGTAGCGCAGCATCAGGGTCCTGTAGAAGTTCGAACACTCCCCCGGCAAGCAGTTAAAAGACGCTTCTAGCAGCGACGTATACACCATGGAAACAGTTGCCAACTGTTCTAAAACCATCCACATCGATGGCAAAAATAATTTTCTACAAAATACAACTATTTCGAGGATTTTTGCGCACTGCCTACGCTGAGAAATTGAGGCCTGGCTTGGAATTTTCGGAAGACTACAGTTTCAAAGAATGTATTGCATTAACAAAATATTATAGAAACGTCAGAATGACTTCATTTTATTCAAAATTATTTTCTCCATCGATGTGGATGGTTTTAGAACATTTATGAACAGAGAAGGTTTTCGAAAGGTTTCCAAAAATCCTCGGGAAATGTTCTAGACAGTCCCGAAGTTTTCTCATTAGATTCTCCGGTGTTTTCTATCTACAATTTCAACTTGTCATTGAAGTTGACTCAAAACTGACCATTGTATTCGAAAATGGCTCGCTCGATTTTCGTCAAATTGCTCAAGTTTCAGTAAAAACGCAATGTTTTAGGAATGAAAAGGAGTCTCGTAAAACGCATCCAAAGTTTTTTCCGTGGTGGTAGGGTGAGTAGAATCACGTAAAAATATTGGCTTCATCTCAAATCTGTAAAGACTTGAAGCTGTTGGGGCTAGCAGCAGAAGGTTTTCGCGCTGTCTCCAAATTTTTAATTTTTTTGATCCTGCCATACTTGAATGACATCAGAAATATTTTTTTTACATTCACTTTTTGACGTAGAATAAAAAAAAAATATTTTCGACGTTACAAACTGAAGGTAATGTGGAAATTTTTGATAATTTTTAAAACTTAGGCTATTTTTTAAGGGTTAGAAAATTTCGAAAGTTCTTAAATTTTCAACCCTAAAAAAATTTTTTTGAAACTCTAAAACACACATGAGCTCTATCGAACCATACATAATAATCGAAAAACTAGATTTTGCTTAAGTTTTTTGAATTTCCGGCGCCTTATTTTTTAGCAATGATGTTTTTCCTGAATAGTAAAATTGATTTTAACATATTTTTCAGTCATATTTGCCTGGTGATGATCTTGTAGAGATCATTAAAAGCTTGCATTTATCTATGTTGTATTTATTTGATAAATAAGTTAAACAAATATGACATTTGTGCAGTTCTGTACTATTTTTACTTATGTTTTTTTAATACTGCAATTCCATTCGGGTTTATTTTGGTTTTCTTTTAAGTTTTTCTCTACTTATGAAGAATATAGATTTGCTTCATAGTGTGCCACACTTTGAGTTTTTTATTGTCGCTGATTCACATTCTTATTTCAAACAAAAAGTATATCAGGTACAATTTGTTTTTTTCAATTACATATCATTTTGTAGGCCTCTTCAAGTAGAGCTGGGCAAGTCAGAAGTTTGCTAGTCGCAAGTCAAGTCACTAAAAAAACTGTCAAATCAAGTCTAAATCGGAAAATTTTTCTACCATGTCAAGTCAAGGTACTCCTCGAAATTTTGTCCTCCAAATCAAGACAGTGGTTAAAATTAGGCAGAACATAAAATTTGCTAACACCTCACAGTGGGTTTGTAGACGGAAATTTGGCCAAAAAACGTAATTTCACTTTTCTCTCATTTTAATAGCATTATATATACTAAGAAGCCGGCTAGCCATAACGCTTATTCACTGGAATATTTTGTTAACTTTCAGCCCCCTTTGAAGCCATTCGTAAATCGACTGCAGTTGGAGAAAAAAGCGTTATCTTACTTTCCTCAAAATTCTTCGCTTTATCAGGCCATATGGTTTGGAAAATTTTCTCACCAAAAACCAAAGATTTGGTTTTCTAGGGTTCAGATTTTTCAGCAACCCTGTTATCAAGTTTCCTTATAAACTGATGGTATGCACCTCATCTGATAGAAAAGTCTTCGGGCTATTCAAAACAGTATTCAGATTGATTCCAGCGTTTGATAAAAAATCAAAAACAAAGGAGTTCTTATGATTATGACACACTGTGCTGTATATATAGCACTCAAACGCTTCTTTTGCATATCTCTATTACTGGCTCTACCTGTCTAGATTTTCTGACAAGATCAGTTTGTAGAGAATTTCGCGGGCTATCCAACAGTATTCTTTTGGAAAATATATAATTTTTCATTAAGACAGAAAAGTGAATACTTATGCCGCCCGTTTACTTCGACTCTGGTCTCAAAACTTTCTGTAACAAATTTGCTTATTCCATACTTTTGACGATGATTCCAGATAGTACACTGAGAGTACTATCTACTGCAAGTAGTCCGACTT